AACTTCCTTGGCCATAGACTTGGAACTCGATTATGATATGAAAATCGATTCGTTACGGACGTCCCCCCACCCAAGTCGGGTGCCGGACACTGCAAGATGAATGCGTCTGCCGACCTGGTTCATAATTTGTAATACTACAGCAATCTATAACTAATATTTAAATATTGTTTATTTCCTCTTTATACCTTTGAAGATTACGAATATTAAAATAAAGTATTTGATTTTGTTTATTTATAAATTACGTACCGTAAAAGACGTTCTATACAGAATAAATATTTTGAAAATGAAAATATGAAAGCTGAAAAATAGATTTCAAAGCGAGCCGGATGTACAGTGGGAGCGATACAACAGCTTTTCGCCCGGCTATATTATGAACCGGTTTCGACCGGCTCGCCCGGTTCACGGCGGCGCGGCGCGGCGCGGCGTCACGTCGGGACCCGGGTAAACGTGCCTCTCGATATAGCGTTTCTTGTGAACGCTTCTCTTGAATACTGAACAGGGTATTCAAACGGGGAAAATTATGCCATATTGTTTTGAATTTTAAAATTCAATTAGTCGATTTACTTCGGAGACGATTTTTTTTTTGTTTTAAGTCTGTCTGTGTGGCAGCTGCGACTCGGTTTAATTAGTTCTGCAGAGACGGGAAGTGTAGCTCGATTGATATTAAATTGGCTTCTGAAAGGATGAATAATATACGTTTAATTATTGCGTTTGTAGTATATTAATGAATTTCATACCTACTATTCACTATTATTTTAATTGGCAGCGTGATAGATTTTATAAGAACAATTTAAGTGACATAAGTATAGAAAAGTAAAGTATATTATGTTAATGTTATTAGCAGTAAATTTATTTTACAAATGGAAACACATAGTTGCACGTGGATTGTAAGACAAAGCCGCAAAAACAGAATTGAGCAAAGTACAAGTCGGTGGCGATGCGAGCGGCGACCGCGACACCGGTCGTTATCGCAGGTGCCCGGCCCGGGTATATCCGGATATATCCGGTTAAATCCCGTTACAACCCGGTTACCAGGCGGGGGATTACCCGTCTGATACGGTTCTGCAGTCGTTTGCGAGTTGATTTATTCACTGCGGCTTATGTCGAGTTTTTACTTATGTTATTATGATTTAGATAATATTATAAAGTAGACTTACACTCGTACAGTTTATATTTCCCATGATGTATGTATGCAAAGATATTGATCCGCTTTGTATTTGAATCAAAGATGTCGATATGTCGCAGCGATGTGACGCGGACGTTGAACATCCGCTATAATTCAAAAGGGATTTGTTCTGCACAACGTCTAAGCGGCTTCTATTGCTCGTACTGCTGCACAAACACGTTCAATATTATGACAGCCTGCGTTTATTCCGTATTCGTGGTGGAGACATTATGTCTACATCTGTATCTTTAATTATAGTTGAGGATATTTAAATCGTAGTGCAGCATAATTTGTTAATTTTATTATTATAATACTCTATATGAAAAAAGTGTTAAGTAGAATTACTTTTTGAAAGTTTTGGTGCACAGCTTTTACTTGCAACACAGTTGAAAATTAAAATGTACTTGTTAAATATCTTTATTGCCATAAGAAAGCCTAAGGGAATAGTATACAGCGATTGCTACAGCAATACATAATTATTCAAACAAGAACATTCGAGAACCGCGACATCATTACGTGTGTATCCCTAGACAACAAGCGCACTATATACTAAGATATGAAGAAATAGATATGATACATAACCATTAACCAAAAGTATATAAATAAAACATAGCGATAGTTATATGTTTTTAAATGACAGAAATTATCATAAGTATATATAAAGGATTCTCAAATTATATATTCAAATAATAACACAATTTCGTGCGTCAATCGGAGCGCTGTAAAAAGGAATTGTATAAAAACTGAATCAAAGTGCAGGAGGAGGAGGTATCGAGTGCTTCTCTTTGTGACGTCATGTCGAAGCCTTTCGCTTTGTGCGGAAATAATGAAAGATGATTAAGCGAAAGCTTCGGTAAGCGGCGCGACATGGGGG